GGCAGCGACCTTATGCATGGAGGGGGCCTAGGGTTTGCTATGCACTGTTATGATTGAGAAAGATTAGGGTAGATAGGAGGACAGTTTGTTACCCTCCCCATGGCTAGATCTTCATACATGCTGTGACCTGGCTGATAATTGGGTGGGCAGTCAATCCCCTCGTGAGAGGGCAATCAATGCTCTTCCGCCAGGTATATTGTCTCCGATCTTGTCAGTGGGACGCTGGACCCGGTTTCCAGCAGGTGATGCTCCCCACCAAGATTGGAGCCATCTATAAACTGGAGCTTGCTATTAGAGGATGATCATATCACGTCCAATAGCAGGTTGCCACAGACGTTTACCATTAAAATTAAAAAAAAAAAAAAAAAAAACTGTAACGACACCGAAAACGATAACGATACTCACAGAGGCGTAAGAGTGATTGGGCAGTTTCTCTCCCCCCCCCTCCCCCTACCCTTCTGCTTTTCCTCGTGTCTTCCTTGGGGATCGATTGGGGCCAGGGGCAAGTTGGTTGTATGATGGGAATGCTTTGCGAACAGGAAGACTGCAGGGATGCGGGGGGTGGGATGGAGGCGCGAAGGGTTGGGATGATGAAGGCTGGTCATTGGGTCGATAGGGTAGTATGTGAGTGGTCGGCTTCATCGCACCCTACTTGGGCCACGTGGTCACGTGGCAATTGGGATGAGCATCCTCGTCTCGTCCTGCCACGTCTGGAAAATAAACTTTCGCTATAAACATTCCATATGCCACGTGGCATGGCGAGAAAGTGCAGTATGGTCAGGTATAAGGGCTGCCTATGGGATTCGATTGTGCCCTGTCACATTGGTGTTTTGTTTTGTTCCAACTTTTGGCAACGGTGCCCCCTACCTTGATTGGACTTGTGGATCGTGAGGACCCCCAGCTGCAGGTAACCCTATTTAACCTTGCTCCCAAATCTCAGTGCCCCTCCTCCTTATGGCAAAGGATGGGCTCTTCAGTCGAATCATTGTTCATGAGGATCGTGGGGGGTTTTGGGGGCAGGTAATCCTATACAAGACCTTTCCTGGGTTGGTGATGATTTTGGGATTACCTATAACCTACAATTGATGACCTAACTCCCTATTCTCCTTGATGATTTTGGGATTAGCTATAATTGATGATCCAACTCCCTATTCTGAATGCCTCTCCCCCTCATGGTGCTGCAAAGGCTGGTTGGTAGGTGATGCGGGGTTCAGAGTGGGGTTTCGACTTCGGATAGTGTGCCTATGTGGCGTTTCAGCTGATTGCTCATGTTGTTAGAAGGACGGACACGTAGCATGCCAATATGAGTTCTGGTTGTTCGATGTGATAATTGACTTCTTTACTTCCTATCCTGAATGCCTCTCCTCCCTAGGGCGCTGCAAGGACTTGTTAGTAGATGATGAGGGTTGCGGAGTGGGAATTTGACTTTGACAGCGATGTGCAGTTAATCCCCTCGATTGAGGGCAATCAATGCTGCTCGTCAGGTAATAGAGTGTGCCCGCGTGTCAGTTCGGTTGATCACCCATGTCATGTTATGCGCTATTCGTCCATGCCTTCTCACCATTTCTCTCCCTTGTTTTCATCGGCAGTCCTATCAATGGCTGAAGCGAGAGTGGGCATTGATACTGCAGAATGTACGTCAAATGCACCACGTCAGCGGACCCCTGACCTGTTGGGACATGCATAAGAATTCGTGGGTGCCATAAACGTGGCCGTGGAGCTAATATTTCTATACCTTGGTCGTTATTTCAAAGGGGGGCTGGGGTGTTATCTATCGCACTCCAACCCCTTGGGTCAAGATTTCTGAGTTTCACCCACCATTTAGAACCGCTGTGTGGTGGCCTCAGCCCCCTCGTGAGTGTCCGGAGTGGGGACCTATGCCCTCTTATCTTTGATGGGAGCGGCAGCTGCCTTTGTGCCATTTCTCTACACCGTTTTTCCCAAGTATACTGCTGGAGAAAAAAAATGTACGCCAACTCCACCATCTCAGCAGATCACTGACTCGTGGGGACGTTCATAAGGAGTAGGGACCAGACACATGCAAAGTGGAGTTTCTTTGTATACCTAGGTGCCGGTTTTATTTTTTTTGGCGTCGGGGGGGCTTTGTGGGGGGGGGGAAGGGGGGAAGGTGGGGGCGGGGGCAGGAGCGGGGGTAGCCCTTTCTGTCAAAATTTGTGGGATTTGTGGCCTAATTCAGAGGAATGCCACTAACAACCACCGCACCTCATGATATGAGCCTACACATCCCAACTAGCAACATATCATGCACACGAGTCTGCTATACATGGCACAGAAGGGACCCCCAGTTTTTGGCTCCTCGCATCCAAGGGAAGGATCACCCTCGTCATCACACGTACAAAGGGCAGGCCATGACCTCCTTCACTCTACACCACCAGAATCATGTCACTAGCTAAGCGGGGCGAGGCCCGACTCGTTTGACCTCTCAACATCCAACCATAAAAAGCACAATGAGAACCCATACACAAGGAATGGTATTGCTCAACAGAACATACCGCAAAGACTTGGGAAAAACAAATCGCTTCCACGAATTCCACTAACACAGTCACCAATGGCAATGTAGACTGCCTAACACTGCATGCACCCTTCAGAAGGGTAAAAAAAAAAAAAAACAAGGGCTTTGCAGGACAAAACGGATAGCACTACAAAGTTACAAGCCAAATTGATTCCCGACAGGCGCCATATTTTTATTCTGAGAAGCAGCGATCGATCAGGGAGGGGCCCGAAAGACTCTTCACAGCATTCACAAAGGGGAGTCCAAAAAGTCCTTACAGCGTGAGGAAGGATGCAAGAACGAATCACATGAAGGGAGACCATTGAGATGACACAAACAGTACTTCGCAATACATCATCCTGATTTATAACACACAGATAGATCTCAGACAGCAGGTCATGACGATGGGCTCGCGAAAGAAAGGCTGCGGGCTAGCATCTTCCCCTGGAAAATAACATACTGTCATTACAGCAGCTGTACTTCAAGCAACTCTCGGTCTAGAATTTAAATACAGTGATCATGACCGTTGATTCTATTCAGGCGAAGATGGTAGTGTTTCTCCTCATACAGTGCATGAACACAAGTACTCCGATGCATTTCCCAGGCCATGGATGCAATGTGCACACATTCCAGCGGACGAGACGCTTTGACTTGTTGATGTAACCCTGCAAATCAAATGCACATGGGCGCCAGTAGTCCCTAGTTTGCATTCTCCTCTGATTCTCTAATGGAAACTAACCCCTTCTCAAGGCTCACAAAACAATTAACAGATCTGCAGGCCCAATGACAGGGATGTCTTCTCTTTGCATGGGAATCGAAAAGATAACAGCACATCAGTGAGAAAGAACAATGTTGCCACTTGGCTCAGAGAGGTGATGGCATCTGTAGATCATTCATGCCATGAGTGGGTGATGTACAACACAGGCGAACAACACCCGCCCACCACAAATACATAATGTAAGGTAGATGATCCATGGCATACGTGGGTGATCTCCACTTTGCAAACACCTTTGAACCTACAGAGAAATCAAACCAACTTCAACCTCACCCCTCTTTTTTCAACCTCCACAGAAATCACACCAACTTACTGCTCCCCTCTAAATGTAACAGAAGAGAAAATGGGGCAGAGAGAGAGAGAGAGAGAGAGAGAGAGAGAGAGAGAGAGAGAGAGAGAGAGAGAGAGAGAGAGAGAGAGAGAGAGAGAGAGAGAGAG